CTGATTGTCCTGACCTTTGACATGTCGGATATCGCTTGTGAACTGTGATATATAGTCAAGGTGTCGGACTTCTCGAGGTGAGTATTTATCAGCTCTCGCTTTTAGTGCATTCGTTAGTGGCTTGTGATCCGTAAAGACTATAAATTCCCTACCTTCTAACATGTGTCGGAAGTGTTTAATGGTTAGGTAGATTGCAAGAAGTTCTCGCCCGAAGGTAGAATACCTTGTTTCGGCTGGAGCGAGTCTTTTCGAGAAGAAAGCAATTGGTTTCCAGGCGTTTTTAACCAGTTGGTTAAGGGTACCGCCTACTGCTTTATCTGAAGCATCCACCATCAAAGCAAGTGGGGAAAGAGAATTCGGATATATCAACGTAGTTGCTTGAGCCAGTTTATCTTTAAGCTGTTTAATAGCTTCGATGGCGTCAGAAGACAGTTTGAATTCTTTTGGTTTTCCTTTAAGTGAATCTGTCAAAGGTTGCATTAATTGTGCACAACCTGGTATGAATCTGCGATAAAAGTTAATTAGGCCTAGAAAACTTCTCAGTTGTGTTAGAGAACTAGGTACGGGGTATTGTTTGATGGTATCCACTTCTTTTTTGATAGGTTTAATCCCTTCTGGGCTTATTGTGTGACCGAGAAATTCTAAAGTTTGAACACCGAAAACACACTTACTTTGATGTATGTTTATTCCATGTTCATCCAGTTTTTTCAACACTGCTTGTACATGCTGTTCGTGTGATTGCAAATCGGGGCTGGCAATTAACAAGTCGTCTATATACCCCTGCGCAAATGGCATATCTCGAAGTAGGTTATCTATGAATCTTTGAAATGTCTGTGCCGCATTTCTCAGGCCGAATGGCATGCGTACAAACTCGAATAAGCCAAAGGGTGTAGTAATAGCTGTCTTGGGAATATCTTCATCAGCCACCGGGATATTGTGATATGCCCTGACTAAATCAATTTTAGTGAATATTTTCATACCCTGTAAACCGTTGGTGAAATCTTGGATATGAGGTATTGGGTACCTATCTGGTACGGTTTGACGGTTTAGGGCTCTGTAATCCCCGCACGGTCGCCAGTCACCTTCATTCTTCTTTGGGACCATATGCAAAGGGGATGCCCATTGACTATCAGAGGGACGGATAATACCCAATTGTAGCATATAATCAAACTCGGCCCTAGCGATTTTGAGCTTATCTGGTGCTAGTCTCCTGGGTTTTGCAAACACCGGTGCACCTTCGGTTTTGATAGTGTGACTCACTTTTAGTTTGTCTTTGGAAGGCTGTGGGTTTGGTTTAGTTAAGTTTGGAAATTCCGCGAGTATATCTTGGAATTTCGCTGTTGTTACTGGAGGGGTTTGAATCAAGTTAAGAGAGCTGATGTGACTTTCTTTGCCTTTTGTGTAATACGAAGTTTCTTTTAGTGTTAATCGCCGTTTCTTGGTGTCAACTAGAAATTCGTATCTCTCTAGAAAGTCCATCCCCAGTGTTGCCAGATCTAAGTCGGCTACCGTGAAAACCCAAGGGAATTGCCTCCTGAACCCCAAATCTAGGGTTAAAGTTTTCTGCCCAAGTGTCGCAATTTTAGTTTTATTTGCAGCTTGAAGTGTAATTGATGATGTTTGTCGACTAATCTCAGTTTTTTTTGAGGGATGATGCTAAGAGCAGCGCCAGTATCCACCAAGAAATTCAACCCCGAGTTTCTGTCTCTAACATAAAACAAGCGACTGTTTAGGCGCCCCTCCTCAGTCGTCGCGACCTGGGGAGGGGTTACTCGTTTCTCGCTGACTTAGAAATATGCTTAGGCCAGGCGCATGGTTGCATGCACTTGGTTGAGTTGACACCAAACTTCCAGTGGTACCAACAAAACTGCCCAGATTGTCTGGACATTTGTGACCTATTTTGTGACTTGGATCGTGGTCGTTGTGGTGACCTGCTCCTGTTTCTATGACCCATTTGCAATATAACGCTTATACAAAACAAGGAAGTGAATGAATACTTGAACAGTACTGTTTTGGCATATGCTTGGTTGTTTGGGGTCAACTCTTAACCAACCAACCTAGGCTGTTACAAATCTACTTCAAAGGTAATGGTGAAAACCAATCACACCTGAAGAACTGCTCCACTGCCTGCATAAAAATAATAAGATACAAAATGGAAATACAAAAATATAATTTATAATTGTTCGGTTCCACGTAAGTGATTGGCCTCCAGAAAGGATTGGTATTCTGGAAGAAAATAGACATAGTGTAGATATCTTGTGCACGAAAAACCATGAAAACAAAAAAAAATACTCTTTTGTAATGCATATATGTAAGAGGGTGAACTTGCTAGAAGTTGGACTCATTGTCAAACCCGATCAAATGTATGACCTTGGGCCTATGACGACCGCCTTTTATAACCAGGTACGTAACCAAGGGTGCATAGTTGTACTCCACAAAACGGAAAAGAATATACGGTTAAGGAGGAGAAAAAAATTGTGTAGATTATGAGGATTAAGTACAATTGTGTCAAATACTCTTTTCTGGTTTGATCTAAGTATGTATGATATATTGAAACAATATTTCGTCAATTCATCCAAGTAACGAATTTGTCTGCACCTTAGAAATGTGTAAGTCCTATTACTCATTAGTATTGTATATGATTAATCGGTAAAAGGAAGGATTGCAGTCATTCGCCCGTGGTTTGATGTGGTCTAATGGCTAGGCACACGGTCTAGCATCCAGGAGGGCAGAGGTTCGAGTGCGTGTGGGGCTAGCGTTTCCGTTCACCAAAACCCTCTTCAATACGATGTTTGTTGGCCATATGTTGCTCAGATATGAGAGAAAGATAACAGGAGGACGGATTGATATGCCAAAGTGCCATATTGGAATAGTACAAGTTCTTTGTTTTTATTAATAACAATGCTATAGAAAAAAAAACTACAAGTGTGGTAGATTTCCATTTTACGTTATAATTAAACCAACGAGAGAAAAAAAGGTATATATATATATAAGTTATTGACATAACATGTTTTTTTTATAACGCTAGTGTTAAGTTCCAGGATTTTGTATGGACCACTAATAATAATTGGTTTAACGTTAGCATAGCTGTGATATTCATATTAGTTCAATGTTGTGATTACTTAACAGTTCCCTTATAAGTTGTGTTTAAAATTAGGTATGTGGAATCAATGCGGCTGACATAGTAACCTTACAGTAACGCACTGTACTATATCTTCACGGTTATTGATTCTTAAATGTCAGAAATTTAAAAAAAATTTTGAATATTGCCAATAATGATGGGTTATATGATCACACTAAAAAGCATGCTGTAGGAAAACTGGTTAAGTCATTATGTAAGTTTCCTAAACATGAAAAAAAATGATGAGAACTTTATTAAGTATTTGACCATAGTTTAATCCAAAATGTTTTGTCTAGAAAACCACTTATTACTAGTAGTATTAAGCGTATCAAGCTACTAAACACATCTTCGACCGAAAACTTTTAGAAGTAGTTCATATGGTATATATGTATAGCTAGTATACGTGAAAAATGTATATAGATATATAAGAAGTACAGCCAACATAGTTAATTAACCAGAAAAAGAAATTATAAAACTCGCCTGGGTTGCTTTTTGAATTCGTTGTATTTGCCAGTGTTAGTTGTATGAGTTTGCTTAAAATCCTCAGCCATCGTTTCGGAATACCTAGCTTATGTGTCCAGTATTTAAAAAAAATTAACATAACACTTATATATCAAAGGCAAAAGGTCTGGGGAGTTGTAGGTGAGGCGGAATGAGGAGAAAAGTTATTTTTAAGTAGATGAAGGGTCTGATTAGCTACGTGGTTAGATTTTATCCTGCAGCTGAAACTGTCAACATCCTTGATTGGCTAATCGGATGTGCCCAGCGAACCGTTTTAGTCATTTGTAAAGATTTATCGTTTTTGCATTTCGATTCCGTAATGGATTTGTCAGTTAAACGATCTAACAACACGTATGGTGGTTCATGATCTAGATAACTTGGCTTTAGCCTATCAATACTTACTGTGTCGATGTTTCCATGTTTTTCTATCACGAAATATTTAGATTTTCTTGAGACGACTTTGAAAGGACCTTCAAATGGAGGGCTAAGTGGTGCTTTTATTTTGTCACATCTTATCCAGACGTGCGTGCAATTGCTTAGGTCTTTAGGTACATATACGGCACGCGATTGTTCGCGAGTATTATTTGGCTTAAGTTTGGACATATGGTCCCGTAGTTGATCTACGTAGTTTCCTAAATTAAGTTCTTGACTGTTAGTATTGGGGTTAATAAATTCACCTGGTAGTCTCAGAGTTGTTCCGAAAACCAGTTCCGCAGCTGAACACTGTGCGTCAGTTTTGACAGATGTTCGTATTCCCAACATAACTAATGGTAGGAATTCTGTCCACTGATTGGGGTTTGAGTGAGATATAAGGGCGGTTTTTAGCTGACGGTGAAAACGTTCTACCATCCCATTAGCCTGAGGATGATATGCAGTGCAGCGTATCCTATTGGAGCCTAGAAGTTGAGCCAAGTTATTAAATAGTTCGGATTCGAATTGCGCTCCTCTATCCGTCGTTATTGTTATGGGTGTACCAAAAATGGTTACCCAGTTCTGCATGAAAACTTTGGCTACTGTTTCCGCTGTGATGTCCGCTATCGGGATGGCTATAGGGAATCTGGTAAATCGATCTATGCATGTAAAAAGATAATTAAAACCGTTTGAATTTAATTCAAATTTACTCGATAACACACTACCGGATACAACTAACACATTCAGTTTTCTTACGAATAATAGTTGTTTTAAAAAATGCTACACAGAGGATTATCCAAAGTATAGCTGTGAAACTATAAGTCAACAAGAAGACGAATTTCTACTAAATCTTCAACATAATCACCATCAACATACTCTTAGCCAAAAAACTGATCAGCAACATTCTTGGTCAGATCAGTGTATAATCAGTCCTTACCAACACTGTATTTCTTGTTCAATGAATCAAATGTATCATCATCCTCCACCTCCTCACCATTCGTATGCTCTGAATTCTGTCAATCATCGAAACTTCAACTCATTATCAATATCGTCATTACAATCACTAAATACAACACAGACCATCACGGATATAGAATATCTCATTATTGAGCCAACTAATGAACCTTGTAATAATGATCATAATGATATTTATCATATGAAATGTATGGACAACGACAGTTTAAGTATGAGAAACAATCCTTCCGTTATCTATTCTGAATTCTATCCACATCAAAATGAATGTAATACATCATTATCCTAATATTTAAATAACATTTATGTAAGTTCTGTAATATACTAATTACGTTTAGCCTATTTCACATGGTGATATTATGTCGATTTTTATAAATATTAGGCACTTAGATTCACCTATGAAGTTTTTAAAAATGTTCACAATGTATTTTACATTGAAATTCATTACAATAATAATAATATTTACTTAAATTGTATTTAGTAATTGTTAGGACTAGTGAAAATTAACTTGAATGATTGTTCGCACCGATTAAAAGGTTGTTAATTTGCTATTCACCAGACTTTACCCTAGCTTTTTTCTGCAAAACTGTTGGATGATCTTTTTGTTAACACAACTAAATCTCTTATTTTTCACATGAATAGATTGTTTATACCATCAGGCATATTCATAGCTGGTTGGTTTATATACTTATCTATTTTACTTGATGACTGATGACGATAACAAAGATTCATATATACAAACCCTTGAGAGAAAAATTAATTTCTCAATGAGTTGTACTTATGTACATTATTATTGTCATAAACAGCATCATGTTTCATACTGTTAGTGGCAGTGTAACATCTGAAAATAGTTGTCTTTTTAAGTAGTTTGAATAATGCTTGTTAGTGAAAATATTCTAAAAAGCTTGGTAACCAAATGAGGTAAAAGAAGGCGTAAGTTATACGTCAGTTCATGTTGCTAAGAAAGACGGCATCCTAAGTAATATTTGATTCATTACTCAATACCCCACTCTTAAGGAATTTATAGAATAAAAATTCTACTCAAAAGTTATTACATGACGATTTGAAGTAAACTAGAAAACCACTGAATAGTGTCTTGTCAAGTGACTAGTGGCAACTATTGAGTAGTTTCAAACTCATGTGAAAACAATTGTTCAATTTATCTTAGTCTCTATTTTTTTTAAAAGTGTTGTCAGTTTAAAATAATAGTTATCTAAAAAGGGTTCTATTTTCCAAGCTCACCAATTGTTCTTTTAGATTACTGTTGCTTATAGGTAAGTGAATAATGGTGTTATATGTATACCACAAAGTGACAGTTCGTTGTACAAACCACTATTGATTATTGATCACAGTATATCATCCGGAAAGTGAGATACTCCAAATGATGAAGTATAATTATTATGTGAAGCTGGTATTATCTAATTATGTATGCAATGAAATCATTGTCTTCATTAACTTACCTGTGAATAAAATTTTCATTAAACAAGATGAGAAGTTCATTTGAAAACACATCAACTAATTATATCCAACTTGAATAATACATGTACTAGTTTAATGCGTATTTGTGACTGAATTTAAAAAATCTTACCACTTTACTACTTCCTGAAGTAGGAGATTTAAATGAATGAAGAAGATCTACATGAGTATTCGTCAATATTTGAACAAAGAGTTTAATACATATCGGGCGCCGAATATATAGAAAACGCATTAGGTGAAAACTATGATTGAGATTTTAATAATTCCAACGTTTCATCCAGAACATTTTACTTAAATTCTTCAAGGTAATAGTCAAAATAGAAACTATCGAAGACGATACAAAATTAAACAATTAAATCTACACTAACAGCTTATAAAATGACATCCCGATGTTCAATTTGTTATTTAATACAACAAGGGTTGAAACACTTAATTTTTCTGTACAGATGAAAGTCGTTTATCATGTACTCAAATATTTAATTTGTTCACTTCCTATTTAAAATAAAGGGAATTGTTTTACAGTGACGTAATCCTTTAATGTTCTTGTTGCTGATTTTGAAATACTTATGCACTATTTATAAAATTTATTTCGTGAAACTGGCCGGTCTTTACACTAAGGACAGTTAGGCAAACACAAGGTCGTATGGTAACTACTTTGGCATTTACTACCCACACGTAATAAGACAATGCTGATATACCTTTCGTTGGACAGTTCAAAATCAATGGTCAAGTGTAAAGACATATAAGTTGCTGCATATCAAATCGTAAACATATTTAGGGACGATGGTCAAACAAGAGAAATCGCAAGCTATTCTAACCAGAAAGGAAACTAAGGAATCATCATCCAGAGATATATAAAATTGCGTTTGGACAATTTGGTTAAACGTTCAGGCTTACACAAACTAAGTCTTCTATAACTGGAGTTACGCAATAAACATTTTTCAGGTTGGCGCCTAAGGATAGTATGTTGTATGATTTCTGTTCGTTTACAAATTAAATAGGTATTTTAATTAAAAATGCTAAATGACTTGTAATTTCATGACTGTAATTGATGATCATCTTTGTTTCATATTTCACATATTTGACTGTTCTGCACAAACTTACTTGAGGATTCAAAAAATGTGTGCGGCCATATGTAGGTAAGACTTGTGTATTTCAAGGCTGTGTAAAATGTTTCGAGAACTTATCTAGAGATTTGATTTTAAATCCGTTTACACTTGTTTGTCAATTCATTCCATTTGGTCGTTTCATGTAGCACTAAAGCTATGCCTTGACAGTAAATGTCAACTTTTATTTTCAATACTATAACTTACATATTTTGTTTACGTTTCGTTTTTTAGAAACTTCAGTAGTTCTATGTTAGCATATTCTTCACTGGAGTGACTCTGAGTTTAGACTTATCAGAAGACAATATCTGCAATGGGATCAAGCTTTGGAAAACAGCGACATTATAAGACTGGATAAACGGCAAATTACATTTTTAACTCATCGTGATTCTTGCTCAATATTTATTTCACTTTCATTTCAATATGAGTATTCAGTGTAATATTTGTTTTATTATCAATGTGTGATTTGATTTGGTATAACACTGATTTACCCCAGCGTCATGTTCAGTCAAGATATGATTTCCTTGTAATAAATATAACGTGAAATATATTCCGCGTGATATGAAGTATGTGATTTGTTATAATTCTGGGCATTTTTAGATGTGTGACTTTTTACTAATTATTAATCATAAGTGTATATAAGTCAATATATAAATGAGTGCGTTTTTGACTACTGTCATCACCGAGTTTTGAGGTTAATAAATGTTCACTCATAGCAGCCTTCCGTGTAATTACAATCGTGTTGTGGGAATCGAAGTGGTTCCTAGTTTTTTCAAGTCTAACTAATGGGTGACGTAGATATAACGGAACGTTTATTCATACAATGAGTGAGTTGAGTTCGCGTGTCGCCTGCGACAGCTCAACGCAGCACGGTATATCAACAGAGAAAGGGTTGGCGATGATACAAATTTGGGCTTTAACTTACTTAAAGACGTGTCGCTGATTGTTTCACGACTTGCGATGTTGATGTACGTTTGAATACGATATGAACAGAAATATTTCACTTAAATCCGTCTCTTACCTAGGCTTACCTCATTTGTGTGATGGCGTTAATAAAACGCCATATATGGGTTGCGTTAGAGGACTTTATTTCAAGCATACGTTTAACCAGGTAGGAAGCGGGAGAGCAAAGCGGAGAAGGTCAGTAATCCAACTTGACTTGACCAAATGTTATTCGATATTTATATTCAGACAAAAATAAGCTACAGACATGTAATGGGTTGGATAAGCAACGCACACACATACATTCACATAAAAACAGTGATGACCAATAAGCGAATAGTTAACAAAGTCAGAATTTGACTAAACAAGAATAAATTGGTCTCTCCGGAAGCTAGAATAACCCATGTGGGCTTGATGTGGTACCGGACACCACAACTGACTATGGTGCGTTTGCTCATGCACGCATCTGTTTACAACGACAACGTTCATATTGTATGTTAATCTGGTGTATGTCCATTGTTTTTCAAATTAAACAAGATTAGAGTTTAAGGCCACTATCGTATTTAGATGTGTGAAATTACAGAAACGGTTTTGCGGATGTTGTTTTGTGAGGTATATTTGAAGAGTTATTCAATGATTGTGCTTCATTTTGTCAGGAACATGCAAAGTATATATAGTACGTTTGTAATGTATCAACTGTCTATTACTCACTAATAAAATTCAGTAGACCAGTTCTATTAGGTGAACTCCGATCATAACCTGGAAGTTAAATTATCCCGAGAAAAGTGGACTTGGAGTCTGTTAAGCAGGTTGAAAGTTCTTTAAAACACAGCAAAATGTCCATTTCTGCGATCTATTTAGAATATCCGTATAGAGAAGTATTTGTATTATTATACGAACTAGGAATCCTCGAAATACATAATTTAAGTCGCGTAGAACAAGATTAGCACAAAAGAATGTATGGTATTTGTAATAAAAAATCGAAGGCATACGCAAAGAATTCATTATTTCATACAAAAAGTACAAGAAAAGAGTGTCTAGAGCAGAAATCTGCACTCTATAAAATTCAAAAAATCCGAGGCAAAATGAGAATCATTGTCAGATACAAACACCATGGCAACAGCTTCTCGATTAAAATATTTGACTAATGATTGAACAGTGAAGTCAGGATTTGATGAAGTTGTGAAAGAAATTCCATATAAAACTGAAACGAGGCAACAAAAATAAATGCGGAGTATTTCTGAATATCTAGACAAAAATAGTTGCAGAAAATTCACGATTAGGCCAACAAGGATAAGGAGATGGAGGCACAAAGGCGAGGATTTCATGATCAAGCACCACATGAGTTGTTCGACCGTTTGCCTCACAAAACAACTACGCAATCCACAAGTAAATTGCATGAATGTTCACAAGTGGCAAAACTGATTAGATGAGCACAGTTGATTAGTCAGTCAAGAATATTGACAGTTTTGGCTGCAGACTAAAATGTAAGCACGTATCTATTGAGGTCTCGTGATCATTCAACCAACATTGCTTTCGTACCGTTTCTCGTATTTTATTTCAATTAACAACAACAATACCAAAACACGTAGCCTGCAATATTATGCTATTCACAACACTCACACATTTCACTTTTGGCTGCGAAACTCTGGAAGATGTAGAATCCTTCACATACCTGGGAAGCATCATCGACGAACAAGGAGGTTCGGATGCAGACGTAAAGGCGAGGATCGGCAAAGCAAGGGCCGCATTCCTACAATTGAAG